ACCACCTACATACACTCAGCAATATCACCCCGATATGTGCTTGACTCCGCATGTCGTTTCGATCTTAGAGCCCCACACCCATCGCCTTCGGTCCTTTGAACTCCATGCCACCGTCCCGGGAACGTGGCTTGCGCTCCTCCCCATGCTCAATCGACAGGCACCGAACTTACGAACCTTGCACATCTATACGAAGTTGCCTCAGGACGTTGCACAAATCAAGTTCTTTGATGAGCACACGCCTCAACTTCGGAATGTCCAGATTACTGGAGCATTCCCTCTCCTGCACCCAGGATTACTCCGTAATCTCACCTTCCTGAGGTTGGAATCTGTGCCGGTGAACTATAGACCTACCACTGCCCAACTCATCGATGTGCTCAAATCCTGCCCGGGGCTCGTATCCCTCTCGCTGCTTGACGCTGGACCGGTGCAAGACACCATTTTTATGCCACCGTCCGCATCTGGAGGAAACGCTCATGCCCATTTCGAACTTCGCCACCTGCAAGCGCTTGCATTCCGCGATACCGAGATTCAGCTTTCGCCCGCCACGTTGCCGGAAGAAGGCATGGTCTGGTTCTTCCAACACATCCATACTCCTCAACTCGCGGCACTCCACATTATGCTCGCCCCTCACCCTCTTGCTTTACCATCTAGAGCCCCAATCCCTACACCTTATCCCCATCTCTCGCCTGGTGCGGCACCGCAGCCCATCTCTGCTGCGATCAAACTGAAGACGACGACGGTACTGCAATGTGTACCTACACTCGAGTCTCTGGAGGAGTTGTACCTTTGGGCTCCCCATGCGACGCATGAGGAGATTGGTACAATGCTCTCCAGGATGCCAGCCCTGCGGACGCTGGAGGTTCCCTTCATCAGTGAGCCGGTGGAGACTCTGAGGCTGTTTTCTCGTCCCATTAGTATCACAACCGACTCGGCCGACTCCGTAGATGGAAAAGGGCAGCCTGCTATCCCTGACATAAAGCAAGCGGATAGCTCCCTTAGGACCACCGGCCAGTCCACTCTCTCCAGAAGGGCCACTGCCGAAGAGGATAGTGTAGCTGGATCCAGTCTACACCACTCCGAGCAGCACAAGGCCAGTTGGCTATGCCCCAATCTAGAACGCATTGGAATTCCATTCATTAATGGCGCAGAGCAGAAGGACTTGGAACACGCCTTGAAGGATGTGTTTATCAATCGCAGCAAATTCACTCACTGTAGCGAGCGCTTTGGCTACAGCACAAGTGGTTCGGCAACTCTAGCAGGCGGTGAAGGTGGATCTCAGACACGAGGAGTAAAGAAGATCACCGCCTTACTCGCACCGACCGGCCAACCAACATATGTCTGCACGGATGTGTGGC